GCAATAACGTCATGCCTTTTTTTTTTTTTTTTTTTAACCTTACAGGCTAGACAATGTTTCAAATTTGAAATAAATTAATGAAAGCTGCAATAACGTCATGCCTTTTTTTTTTTTTTTTTTTAACCTTACAGGCTAGACAAGGTTTCAAATTTGAAATAAATCAATGAAAGCTGTAATATCGTTATTCATCTTTTTTGAGAAACAACAGCAAATAACAGAAGTAGAAAAGTTGCACTCCACCTATTCCTATTAAAACCTCATTCACTGAAAAATAATAATACCCCTGCGTTATAGATTCTGAAAGGCATTTCATAAAAAAATACTGTACAAAATCAGCGCAATTAGTGCTATACAATATACAATACCTCGGCTCCAGAGGTCCCCGCCCCCTCCACAGACGCTTCGCCCCACTTCTGCCAAATTGTAGCTGACCGCAAACAGTGCCGCAGACAGGAAGCCGGCTTGTTTTGTTTTTATGACCGCAATTGTGGAAAACAACTCGTGAAATTTGACCCGCTAGAAGAGCGAGGTGCACGAGAACGCTGGGACCCTTTTTCCACCTCGATCTCCGCTCTTTTTGGCCCTCATGTCCCTCCGTTGTCGGACTAAACTCGCCCCCACTTCCTCACTGCCTCGGCCGTATCTAGACCCACAGTGTGTAGTGCGGACCACGCTTCAATATTGAGCATAAATCAAAGATGTCTGTGTCGAGCTCACTGTGACACACTGCTGTAAGAGTATAACCAGGAAGCGAGGTAGGAGGGCAAAATAGGTTTAGCGCCACCGCAGCACGGGAGGGAGAATTACACGGCCAGACACAAATGGATAAAAATAGACCAGAGGAAAAAAACAAAAAACAATCGATACTCTTGCGGACTTATCGATGCATCGGATCGTCGGCTGTTGGATCGATGCATCGATACAAAACGATTATTATTTACACCTCTAGTGGTTAGTGTGCACAACTCATGTACGGAGGCTTTAGTCCTCGACGCCGGGTTTCGAGTCCGGCCTGTGGTCCTTTCCCGCATGTCTGTCCCCCTCTCTCACACCCCCTTTCCTGTCAGCCTACTGTGAGAGAAAGTTCCACTAGTGCCGTAAAAACTCCAAAAAAAAAAAAGTTATGGTCATGCATAAATAAAATGCATGACTTATTTTTTAGTTAAATTTAAAGTGAATTAGGGCCGAAACACTTAATTATGTATGTAATTTCCATTTACATAGATTACATTACTCGATTAATCAAAAAATTAATCGACAGAATAATCAATTTACAAAGTAATCAAATTTTTCCCTCCATTTAATCTTGCAGCCCTAGATTAAATCGAGGAAAAGCTCCAACTGATGGAGAAATATCTGGAATATTTTGCATAGAAAGCTTCCAAAGCTTTAGGAAAAATACAGAATACCATAATATGTAATGTTAAAGCCTTTGAGCCTGTTCTAGCACTCAGTGTTCACACCCTACGACTTTAAAAAACATTAGCATTTTAACTCTGTAATTTTTAGCTCTTTGTGAAATAAACATCATTTTAGAAGGAAAATGAGATATTTATGTTGTGTCTCACTATACTTCATGCTGACATGCAGGCCGTACTCAGCGCTCATATGTTTCATTAAACTTGTTTTTAAAAGGCTCCAACTTCTGTATGTAGTTGTAAGCCTGTTTGGATGTTTAGTCCCTTGTGTTTGGTACTTTTCAGTTATTGCATGGCAAATTTAGATTTCAGAGGTGCTTTTGTGAACGACTGTCTTAAAAAGAAATCAGGTACAAAATGCCAGCCACCTGTTTTCATTTCTAAATGCTCATCTGTAGAAGTAAAATCTAATTAGCAAAATACACTAAATTGATATACATTTCACAGACAGAGGGAACAGTTGGGTGTGGAGCCACTTCTTGAAGGATGTAACTTGTTGGATTAAGCATCTGCATTAGTGGAAAACACTCCACATTTATCAGGATAAATCCCCCTTGCTGTGACACGGTGTAGAATTGGTTACATCCTGCAATACATGTAGTTTTCTTGATGGGTGATGGGGATGTTTTTTTTTTTATCATTGAAGGGAAGACCCACTAAGCTAAAAACAATCTAAACATTAAAACTTTTTTAGAAACTGCAAAATACTTCAGCCTGGTCTACAAGGAAAGTGAACACAGAGGAGTGAATTAGATCAAAGCTTGAGCTATTTTGCAAAGAGGAACATCCTAAAATGTCCCTTTCCAGATGTACAAAGCAGGTTAAGGTATTGTGGGTAGTAGGGTTGTCAAAAGTATTGATACTCAAAAGAATATAGATACTGAAAAGTTGTATCCGGATACAATACTCATTTTCAAAAGTATTGATACAGTGCTACCACCAGTGGCACCTAAACAGTCATTCATCTTATGCGCAGATTACAGGAAAATGCACTTTCTGATCACTGTGTGATTGAATAATTCTGTGCACTTTTCGGTTTCAGGCTTTTTTCTGTAACAGGTGCAGCTGCTGGGAATTTTTTTTTTTTTTTAACTGGTTTGGCTAGTGTCATTGTTATGTGTGTAAAGCATAGTCAAGGAAGGAACACTTAATTTTAATTTTGTAAGTTTTTTTATCAAGCTTGCTTAATATTGTGCACAGTATACAACCTCAAAATATTGTTTATTGTATTTATTTATCTATTTATTGTATTTTGTTTATTAATGAAAAAATTCTGTTGAATTTTGGAGTCTTTGTTTTTATCCTTCTGGTATCGAAAATTACATTGAGTATCGAATATTTTACTTAGTATCGGTATCGAGTTGAAAAGTTTAGTATCGTGACAACCCTAGTGGGTAGGTGAGCTAAATGCAGATGGCTGCTACACTTTCCAGGGGTTTCTTCATAACAAGGAAAATCAAAATCCTTTTTTCTAACTGCAAATGTTCTAAACTATTGCTGTTATTTTACTCACATGAGCTTTGACTCTGTCATGGAGAAGAGACATGGGCAGTTTGCTTTGCCTCATCACCACACGAT